ACAGTGCATATAATTGTCTCTGGAAGTGAACGTACCAGAAAACAAATTAAGTCATACGCAGCTGTCATCCGTACGCAAGGAATTGCTTACTTCCTTGCGTACGGATGACAGCTGCGTATGACTTAGTATATTTTCCGGTGCTTTCGCTTCCAGAGACAGTTGTAAGCACTGTGTAACTGCCTCGAGGGTGCTTGACCATTTTAACACAACGTGGTGCGATCATCCCCCTTGCGCGGAGTGAGGGTTCTCCACCCCGCACAACATGATCTACTCGACCACCATTATGGTTACCCCAAAAAAAAAACCGGAGTTAAAAAAAAAAACGGTAACCTGGTTGCCGAGTTCACGAAGTGAATTGGCTTGTTTTACAACGTCGTTGCCAAGCGACGAAAACTCAACCCCGATGGCAAATACCGGGGGGGGCGGACCACACCACACTCCTGTCACAGGGGGGGGGGGGGCATACATTGCAGGAGGAACGACGCTGCTCGCAGCGGGCGGGAGACCGGACACAATTGAGGACACTACGCTGTTTGCAGCGGGTGGGAAAACGGGCACAGTGGAGGGCACTACGCTGCTTGCAGCCGGCGGGAAACCATGCACCGTGGAAGGTACTACGCCGGCAGCAGCGGGCGGAAAATTAGACACGGGGGGTTGAACAACACTCCTGGGAGCGGTGTGAGGTACAGACATCACCGGAGGCACTACGCCGCTCTCAGCGGGCAAGACACCTGACACTGCGGAAGGAACGTATGCTACACCCGGAGGGGGGGGAAACACCGGTGGGGTTTCTGGCATCACTCTACCATCACTCGCATACAATCGTACACCAGCAGCGCGGGGAGGGGGCACCGGGGGAAAAGGCATCACAGATACAGCGGTGGGCGTTGCATAGTTGGCCGGCAAGCGAGTGGCCCAAAGCGACGAACCCCTCTTGCCACGGAGAAAGGTCAATTTGCCATGGAAAAGATGGGTGCCTACGTCGTCCAAGGCAATACGTTGCAATCCCTGTGCTTGGTGGAGGGAGAAATGATTGAACCCCATTCCTTCAACATGACGTACTCGGGTAAGCTTCACGCAAAAGTCTCTACCTTCAAGATGGAACCTCACGTTTAAACATCCGATTCCAAGCGCTCGCATCGTCCTGCCATCACCGATCTGCACTCTCTCGCTTGACATGTCTCTTACAACACACGCATGCACAGTCCCCCCTGCCGACGAAGGTGCTCCGGTCAAAGGCGCGGGAGAGGCGTAAGGGGCGGGGACTGGCTGCTGCTGTTGGAAGGGGGTGGATAGGTACTCCGGCTGCTGCTGTTGGGGTGGGTATTCGTACACACCGCTCGCGTGCGTCACCGGTTGTTGATAAAACACCGGTCACGTGCGTCACTGCATGCCCCCCCGTAGATTGTGCTGCCGTCGTCGCCGCCGTCGCTGCTTCTGGCTCTACGCCTTCTCTGCCGTACTGCTGCGCGGTATTGGCCTGCCCGTACGAGTGGGCCCACGGCGGCCGCTGGCTGTAGCCACCAGCCGGCGGCCGGGGTGGTGGGGGCCTGGGCGGCGCGTTGGCGGCCGGCATGCCAGCTGGCCTTCCGACGTCAACACGCGAAGGACAGAACAGATGGTTGTGGCCGAGTTCACCGCAGTTCTCACATCGCTTGCGAGGGTCATTCGGGTGGATGTGAGGTTCATTTTCCCTGCGGACGGTACACNCAGAACAGATGGTTGTGGCCGAGTTCACCGCAGTTCTCACATCGCTTGCGCGGGTCATTCGGGTGGATGTGAGGTTCATTTTCCCTGCGGACGGTACACGTGGGGGGGGTAGGCGCTGTAGTCGTAGCCCCGCTGAGGTACACAGGGTAGGCGGGGAGGTTGCTGCCCGGCGGTCCCTGGTGAAAAGGGCCCCTGCCCCTCCCACCGGAAGCGGCGCCACGCCACCCGAATCTTCCTCCTGGCGGCTGCTGCTGATGACGTCCTCCTCCAGAAAAGCCCCGGCCCCCATGCTGGGGCCCGTGCCTTCCGCCGTAGCTCGCACCTTGGCCGCCCGAGGGACCTCCCCAACCCCGCTGCAAGCGACATTCCTCGTTGCTGTGGGACGAGGAGTTGTGAACGTCACAATATTTTATCTCAGGCGGGCACGGCGGCGGGTATACCTGTTGCTGCTGCTTGGAGTACGGCTGATGCTGCTGCTGTGGCTGCTGCGGTTGTTGCTGCTGTTGCCGCGCTGCCGTCTTCCGTTGTCCTCTCGACTGCCCCCTATCCCCCATGTTCCCGCCCCCGCCACCACGGTTGTCACCGCCAGTGACGAGGGCATACCCCCCCACGCTCTCCGACGCCCTCTTCCTAGCGGCCTCCGTCTCCGCCCAGACAGTCAGAATCACCTTCTCTACCAGTTCCGTCTTGNCAACCCCGCTGCAAGCGACATTCCTCGTTGCTGTGGGACGAGGAGTTGTGAACGTCACAATATTTTATCTCAGGCGGGCACGGCGGCGGGTATACCTGTTGCTGCTGCTTGGAGTACGGCTGATGCTGCTGCTGTGGCTGCTGCGGTTGTTGCTGCTGTTGCCGCGCTGCCGTCTTCCGTTGTCCTCTCGACTGCCCCCTATCCCCCATGTTCCCGCCCCCGCCACCACGGTTGTCACCGCCAGTGACGAGGGCATACCCCCCCACGCTCTCCGACGCCCTCTTCCTAGCGGCCTCCGTCTCCGCCCAGACAGTCAGAATCACCTTCTCTACCAGTTCCGTCTTGACTTCCGAATGCGCCAACAGCACGCTCCTCTGCACATGGAAATCGGGCAGAAGGTTGCGTACATAGTGGACGTTAGCATCATGATCGGATTGCACCCGACCGTACGTTTCTAGTTTCTGGATGCTCTTATGAGATAGCGCCGGGGCTCCTCCCCTACTTGCTGCTTCAACGAGTACCATTTGCCCCTGTAACTCCAACTTATTCGTTTCTCCGTGCATTCGATAAAAGTTGAGAAACTGATCCCACGATTCAGTGGGACAGCCACTAGCTAGGATTGCAGGGACTATCGTGGGTACTTGTATCTTGGATATTATCAGCTGCCATGCCTTGACCGTCCGATCTACAGCTACCATCCCATGCTCCACCTTCAATGCCGAGATATCCGAATCCGTCTTTCCTACCTGAATTGTGTTCGTTGACTCTATTGCCCCAAGGCAACGCTCCTGCTCCAACAAAGATCGGAAATGACTGGTAAAAACCATCACCGCCGTCTGTACATCGTCCTCGAGGCTAAACTTCCCGGTGAATGCAGGGACAGTGATACCTGCGCTAATACGTATTGTTTCTTTAGGGGCTTGGACTTGCCTGTTCTCATCCTCCGGTTCAACCTTGACCCTCTGCAAGGCCCGCGTGAGGGTGTCGATGAGGCTGATGTCCGCCGGCGATCGGGGCTGGTCTTTGGGTCGCGGGCTTGACTCCGAGCCAGCCGGCCTCTCCAGCCGGGTGTTGCCGCCTTCGGAAGGCATGCCCTCGCTCTGTGCTGCGGGGCGCTCGGCAGCTGCTGCTTCTTCTACTTTCTCCTTGACCTGCTCCTTGATGAGGGCGTCGATTACGTTTCGCTGCTCGTCCGAGAGCTGGAGCTCATCCAGCTGCTGCTCCATGATTTCCGTGTCACTGTTCTCTGGCCAAAACCTTTTGTAGCTAGCCCCACCTCGGGATCCAGTATGATATTTCACTAGCGTGATAGGATAATCCGAACTGGGGGTAGCTTGTCGCAAGACGTGTGTTGAATAGGGTATCGGCAACTCGGCGGGCTCGCGCCGAGGAGAAAAACTTGTTGTGATTAGTTGCATCCACATCCACACACACAAGCCCCGTTGAGGGGGCGACGCCATAAACAACAGGGGTACCTTATACATCCCTGGAATCCATTCTACGTACCACANGCGTCGATTACGTTTCGCTGCTCGTCCGAGAGCTGGAGCTCATCCAGCTGCTGCTCCATGATTTCCGTGTCACTGTTCTCTGGCCAAAACCTTTTGTAGCTAGCCCCACCTCGGGATCCAGTATGATATTTCACTAGCGTGATAGGATAATCCGAACTGGGGGTAGCTTGTCGCAAGACGTGTGTTGAATAGGGTATCGGCAACTCGGCGGGCTCGCGCCGAGGAGAAAAACTTGTTGTGATTAGTTGCATCCACATCCACACACACAAGCCCCGTTGAGGGGGCGACGCCATAAACAACAGGGGTACCTTATACATCCCTGGAATCCATTCTACGTACCACACATGTCACCCGGTATTCCGCTCTACCTCATTCCATTGGAACACCCCGTGCCAACTACTTGGCATTGCTACAAGTTTATCTATCATAACCACCAGAGTCCATCGTCCGTTTGTACCAAAAGAAGGCGCCTACAGAAAGAGGAGTATTGGCGAAACCACGGTCACATGTTGAACGAGAGACGAGCGAGTAGCCCGAAGGCATGGCTTTGCTTCTACAGCACATGCCAAACCTAGGGTAGTCGAACCAATGCGCATCGCACTACAACTGCGATTCATAAGGCGATGCTGGTCGGGCGATCCTGTCCAGTACCGGAGAATGTGCGACCGGAGAATGTGCGACTGGAGTGCTGTAGATCCATCTCACGCTCCCAGGAAGGGCGAAGAAGGCCTTTTCAATGCGTCTGGTAAAAGACAGCCATAGGGCCACCACGACCACGAACTGACCGGTGTCTCCTAAATCGTTCAACCTCGAGACATTCGGCCGGAGTCGACCCGTCGTCTTCCGTAACATGGTAGGAGATTTGTTCGCATACGAAAGAGTTCGGCACGTACGCAGTATGACCAGCGGGCAGAAATCGTGGCACGTCATCGGTGTCATGCAGACTAGTGCAAGGCTTGGAACGCACCACCGACACGAGGTTTCTTGGCCCGGTAGGTTCCGACGGGAGATCCAAGTAGAGCAGCTTGGAAGCCAAAGGACGGTCGTCAGGGGCGTCAGAAAACGGGCCCACAGCCAGAAGTTGCACGGGCCTGTCCAGAGCAAAGGTAGCTTAGATTCAAGAACCTTGTCATCAGCGTCTGGACGAATACCTTGGCGGATGGTGAATTCGGAAGTCCCCAAACCCATTTCACCACCTGTGTAGGCGGGAAGCTCACGTAAAAGCGTCCGAAAGAGCGAAATTTTGCCGCTCGATCCGCGAAACGGACTTGTTCTGCTGTTCACGCACAAAGAAAGCCGTACGAGCGATGTTGGTGATCAGCAGCAAGATCGCAGTACTCAAGTTGATCATGATTCAAGTTTTGGTGGCCGCGAGCATAGGGAGGCTCAAGGGCAGTCATCGCCAGGCGCGGCAAAAGGTTCATGTGCACCTCATTGGGCGCTAACCAATAGCTGCACTAACCGAATTGTTGTAGGCAAACTCGACGTGCGGTAGATGATTGTCCCAATCATCTTGTCTCTCGTTGACGAGCATAGCCAACATCTGGGCAATAGTGTGATTGACACGTTTCACACCCCCAATGCGGTAAACTTACAAGACGGCGTACACAGCGTTCAACAGTTCAGAACAAGACTGAGAACCGTCGTTAGACAAGAGACTCAACGGGCAACCCAACAAAGGGACTTACTGGTTGACAACGATGTCAGCGGTGCCTTCGGCGGTATATTCTCCGGCCGAAACCGCGTCACGGCGACTAAAACGGTCGGTCTAAAAGAGAATGTATGTGTCTCCACGTGGTGTAAACGGAAGGGGGCCGCAGTAGTCGACTCTCATCGACACAACGGGGCCGGAAGTCAACGGAAGGCACAAGGTAATTCACCGAGAAGTCTGACAAGGTGGCTTGCGAGCTTGGCATCTCAAACAATTCCGCACCCACCACTTCGTGCAAACACTCATGCCAAACCACCAATAGAAACAATCTAGTATCCTAAGCGTGCGAGCTGCACCGAGGCGGCAGGGCAGAATAGGGTCGGCGTCCTCCCTCCCTGCTCTTTTTCCTCAAAAGCTTAATAATCTCGCGAAGGCGGTCGGAGTCGAGTGTACCACACTACGGGCAGTTGTGCTAAACCGCCCATGGATGGCCAATGAGTGCCCTTCAACCGGAACCAGTGTACTCTTAAACGATTGATTTCTTGCTCTGGAACGGGTATTATAATGACTAACAACCCTAGCGCAAACCCTAACGCTACCCCGAGCCCTTACGGTACGTGCTAGGTTAGCGCTGGGTGGCGAACTTCTAGGTTGATATGCCGGTGGCAAGTTCTAGGTTAAAGTGCAGGCGGTGGTCAGTTCGTGGGCAGTTCATGGCCTGCCCATGGGCCCACCCCCAAGGACCGCTCACCGGCAGCGCGGCCCACGGGCAGTCCATGAAGTGCCCATGGGTGGCCCATGGGTAGCCCATGGGCGCTTTAGCAAAACTACCAGTAGTGTGGGCAATTGTCCGAGTCATGGTCATAACATACTCATAATCGGTTCATGATTCCGTCATCGAGATGGAGTCAGGACCTCGATCATGATCTCGATCATGACCGAAACCACATGACTCGGTCATGACTCTCGGCCAACGCCTCCAATGAGCACGAAACAGCCAGCACTGAGGTCCTATGCCCCCTAACCGTTGCCCAAGCCGTGGTTCGGCCCAAACCAACAAGTGATGCTGTGACATGCCCAATAATGCGGCCAACCATCCATCGTCGCACCGTAGCTTGGGCTTTTGTCTACGCCACCGCTCGAAACGTTTTGAAAGCACCTCTATGCATCTCTACCGGGCGCGATAACGCGATGATGTGCCGCAACGCCCCCCAGCTGTCGCCCAAGCCGTCGTTCGCCCCAAACCTTCATTGCTGTTGTTGTTGTCTTCACATTAGTCCTTCATGTGGTTGCCGAGATAGTTGCCGAGATAACCCTAACCCTAGAGGGATGAGGCCGCATGTTGCCCTTCTTAAGAGGGCGTGCCTTTGCCACCGAATGGGCGTCGCCGTGCCCGGGGGACGTATAACGGGTGATTTTTAGCTGAAAGTGTACATACTTTCGCACCATATACACGCATACGACCTCAAACGTGAGTGATTCCCCCCTCCCATAGGCTCACAAACGACCCGTCATACGTCATACCCACACCGAAGTCATGGCCAATGACGAGGGCGAAGCCATCGTCGGGGCGGGTAAGACGCAGCGCGCTCCTTAGAAAATGGTGGCCTGGTTACCTAAGGTATTTCTTCTCGCATGCTTGGCTTGCCTCCAAGGAAGAGACTTTCGTTGTAAACGGGTGACTATTGAACTCGCCCCGGCAGAACAATGTTATTGGAAATTGCACATCTGCGTATCCCGTCCGTCCTTTGGGATGCTGGCAGGAGGATGAACGACTGCCTCGCTTTGACAGCTTCGACAGGGAACCCGTTTTGCACGCGAATGGCAAAACTAACGTGGGGCATGGATAGCCCTGATCTACCGAAGGGACTCAAAAATAACAACAGGCTCGAGGGAAAACCCGGTCAACCGGATCAATAACCCTCGTCTAACACCCTACATATAAAAAACCGTCGCTATCACGGAGGATTCCAACGGCCGCACTTCCAAGACAAGACCAAGGCAGGACAGATTGAACCGGTCACGCTGATTACGCACCCGAAGCAACGCTCTCGGCGGTTCTAGGCTCCAGCCGCGGGGGACGCGCCGGCACAACGCTTCCCGCGTGACGTACCATGGTCATATATGCCACGTGATAAAACCACCACATAAACCAAACAGAACAAGAGAACACTGCATCGGTAGGTTCATCAGAGCCTTCCGGTGGTACTCTAACTTCTCTCTGCCAAGGACCTTGGTCAGCATGTTGGCGTGCTGCTCCCCAGTCGGAACATACTCTGCAGTGATCTTGCCCGACTTGAATAGCTCGCGAATGAAATGGAACCGCACGTCGTTGTGCTTGCTCCTCGCTGAGCTGAACGGGTTCTCGATTAAGGCGAGAGCCCCTTTGTTGTCTTCAAGGACCTTGATCTTCGCCCCAATCGTCTCGGGCGCTATGAACGACAGAACGCCACGCACAAACAACGCTTCCTTCACGCCCTCCACGGCTGCCATATACTCTGCTTCCGAGGTCGATNGCTTGCTCCTCGCTGAGCTGAACGGGTTCTCGATTAAGGCGAGAGCCCCTTTGTTGTCTTCAAGGACCTTGATCTTCGCCCCAATCGTCTCGGGCGCTATGAACGACAGAACGCCACGCACAAACAACGCTTCCTTCACGCCCTCCACGGCTGCCATATACTCTGCTTCCGAGGTCGATTGAGCCGTCACTGGCTGCGTCTTGGTGGATGCACACACTACGGTACCACCTACGGTCACAGCTAGCCCGGTCGTAGAACGCCTGTCTACTTCGTTGTCAGCGTAGCTGGCATCGACAAACGCGCTTAGGTCTAGTCCTGACCCCCGTACGTAGGTGATGCCGAAGTCCTTCTTGAATTTCAGGTAGGACATGATCCGCACAAGCGCGTTCCATATCCTCCCGGTGGGTGAGTGGGGGATGAGCTTGTTCAGAGGCAGGGCGATGTCTGGCCTCGTCAGCTTCGTCCACATCAGGCATCCGATCGCCTCCCTCACAGGCATATCCACCGTGGGCTCGTAATCTCTCTTCGGCCCTAGGTCGGCATCGGTGGCAGCAGGGGTGAAAGCGGTCGTGGTCACATCAAACCGCTTCAGCATACTCTCAATGTATGCTGTCTGGGACAGCTTGGTGATGCCATTTTCTACATCCATGGCGATAGCACACCCGTCGTAACAGGTACACTCCCCCAGATCTTTCACCGGAAACTTCTTGTTGAGGGAAGCGAACACCTCCTCTCCCTCTCCCTCGTCTGCCGCCACTAAGATGTCATCAACGTAGATCACGATGAGACCTACGACCTCTTCATCCACCACCTTCCGGAAGACACACGGGTCAACCCTGCACTGCTCGTATCCATTCTCGATGAGGGCATCGGCAGCTTCAAACCCCCACTCACGGCCACTCTGCTTTAGGCCATGCAGGGCACGCTCAACATTGACCACCTTGCCGGACATGCTACCACAGCCTTCCGGGAACCTGAGGTATATTTCTTCTTATAGCTTAGCGTGGATGTA